TTTTCGGCCATGGGCGACTAAGTCGTGCAGGGATAACAACCTTAGAATATGGCGGTATAGTAATATCTTCTCGAACAGTTACACGGCAACACGGTACAGACTTTTCAGTAAAGAGTTTGATTTCATGACCCCCTATCATCATGTGTCCCGATGATAAGTAAAGAACACAGTCATGTTCTCGGAGATAATCCATGCCTAAAATACCATTAGTCATGCCTAAGTTGGCAACAATCACAGTGCGTCGTGATACAAACGAATCAATCGATAAATCAACCTCCAATGTACCCAGTGGTGATAAATCATGCCCTCCCACTGCAACAAGAGATTCTTCGAGCGGTGCCAATTGTGCTTCCTTCCCACCTATAGCCTCAAAGATGGAAATGTCGATCAGAGTAGTCATAGCACCACTATCTACAAGAAAATTGAACGGTTGATTGTTTACAAGTACCTTCGCATGCCAACTATTGTCATATTGCAAGGAACAAATATTCAGGTCTATATTCTGTTTCGTTGGTCCGTCATCAAGTAATAATTCAGCGGACACTGAGGACCTCAAGCCCGCTGAGTGTCGTTTAAATTTGCGGTCGAAGAAGAAGCAGATGTTGCAGGATCAACAGGATTCTGGAGATGTGGACAATCCCGTTTAAGATGACCAGTCTGCTTGCAATTGAAACATGCCTTGCAATCCCTACCCCAATGACCATGTTTACCACATCGAGGACACGGATTGCGTGGTGTACCATCAAAACCACGATTGTTATTAGTGCGCGGCTTAACATATCCTATGATCTCATCCAGTTTTGCTAGAATGCGCTCGCCAATACTGCCTTCGAAAGATATGTCGTTTTGCTGGTTAGCCACACTACCAGTATTACCATGTTTCACTGCTGCAATGCGCGGTTCAGGCATGTCTTTCCTCTCAGAGTGGTTCGTATCAACAGAGTAATACAGTGTCGCAAGAGACAGAGCCTTTTCAAAAGTATCAGGCTGTTGCATGTGTCAAAATATCATCTTGACCAGCAATATCAAGATTTGGGTAAGCAAGAATAACAAGCTCTTTCAATTTGTTACCATAATCCCGTGGTGCTTCATTTGGCTTAATCCTACGACAATGAAATGTAGTACGATATGAACTCTCATTTCCGGCAGGTTTAAAGAAATGATTAAAATGAACCACAATATCACGATAGCTAGTACGTTTCATATCTGGTAAATCTTTCAATACATCTAGAGCTTGACCTGTCATGCAAGTAGCCAATTCCAATCCCGCAGTGTCATCATCCCACTGATTATAACTGGTAACCAATTCAAAATGGCATAAATAACTAGGCCACGCCATGACAGTGGACCCATCGAAATACATCGGCTTTTTGGCATTTCTTGTCATCATCGTAGCATTAGCTGTGCTATTGAGAACACTACGATTAACATTGGCATTTAGTACACTGCTAGCGCTCACTGGAGGAGCTGATTGTGTAGCCACTGTAATCATTTTCGGCCTAGTACTAAGTTGTCTTCTGACAACATTTGGGCCTTCATTACCATTATTGATCAAAAAAGGAAGTGTAGGTGCAAGGTTACTCACATGACCATTCTCTGCAAATTTCACTTCTAATGTCTGCGAAAACGCGTTCCGCTTCCCTTCTGGCTGTCCATCTTCTAATCCAAAATCAGAAATTTCATCATCTTTGAGAGCAAGCGCTGTTTTTGGAACAACCGTTGCTGGTGTTGAAGTGATCAGGCTGACATTTGGGTCATGTGACATGGGCTGGGTTTCCTCAGGATCAGAAACTCCACCTGGTTTAATCATGCCAGTAATATCTTGAAGCATGCTGTAGATATTATCGAAAGACGAGCCCATTTTTGTATTTTGGAGTTCAACTGATTCTAGTTGACTTCCAATCTGTTGTACACAACCGTCTATCTGCTGTATACGACTGTCCATCAGCTGCAAACGGCTGTCAGTATCCTTTTGCTTGTCCTCTGATTCCCTCAATTTCGCCTTCAATACCTGTATTTGCAGATGCAAAAGTTCATTCTCCTCTTTGGCTTCTTTTGGTGCCGGTACAATCTTTCTTCTCTTAACCATTTTCCAAAATATCTCGCAACCGCAATTAAAAAAAAATTGGCAACCTCAAATTTCCAATATTGTCCAAATATTATCCGTCACAGACTAGCCTACCTAATCGGCTTAGTCTTAATAGTCCCTGTGTCAAATAATAAATCCTGGCGTGTGCTCGCCAAAAATTCGTATATGTGGCGTACCAAAATTGATATCACCACTCAGGTTCTTTCTGCCAGCTTATTGGACACTGAAGTTGCACTAGATGTCAATCACGAAATAATCTTCTTGCGGTTCCAAATACAGCAGAGTAACTAATTTAACTAACTAGATTAATTATACACCTGTAAGAACTTAATACAACCAAATACTCCAATAAGAAATACAATAAACAAATAAAAACACAGTACAAATACCGTAGGATACATACGAAACAAAAAGATACGAAATTGGTCTATGACGTCACAGTCATGAACTATTTACTTATAATGGGATATGAAAAACCGGGTAAAACATACCTAGATATACATAAGAATAACTAGTATGACACTAAAGATACAACACAAATCCTATCTTACCGACAAACACGTAATATACTTGGAAATCCGCATAGAAATATGGAAATCACACAGGAAATGAAGTGCGAAAATAGACTAGTTACGGAAGTGTTAAATACAAGCTAACTAGTGAACAGAGCTATGCCAAACTGGAGAAATAGTAAACCTGTACTACTAATATCATTTTACAACAAGAATTACATATATTTACGGCATTAAAACACTATAATAATAACCTAATATACAGAGGAATATCTACACTGCCGGCAGTCTGACAAACCAGCTACAAGAGAAAGTTACACAGTTGTTCACTAGTGACTCAAGTGGTAAGAATAAATATGGGCGAACAGAATAAAACAGAGTTATAGACGTGGTCGTCTCAATACATTGAGCACAAAGAGACTCTTGATGAATGAAGCAGTGAAAAGTAATAATGTCCTGAGTAAAATCAGATTCTTGCAAGTACTTTTTCAATAGCGTCACCGCATCGTTTTCTTTACCAGTCATAGAAGCTGCCCCGTAGTCAATCCAACTAATTTTATAGTGAAACGCATTTAACACAGCTTCTTTTATATCTACCCCACGTGTTGTGTCATAAAGTCCAACAAGATCTTCGTAAGCAGATAGGTCTTTTGCTACAGCGCGGACTGATAATTGCTCAGTATCACTCATATCACAGCTTTTATCAAAAGCCAGTGAAAAACATTCGAAGGTCTACTTTCGATT